GCGCTCTTGGGGGCGGGTGTCGTTCGGACGCGTTGCGTGGGGAGTTTTGATGGTGAAGCAGTTCCCTGGGGGTCGTCTCTCGATGGGGCGAAATAGAGTCGTCGTCAAGATGCTTCTTTGGGGGGCCTCTTGGGGTCTGTTGAGAGGCCGTTCGGGGGCGCCTGGGAGACATGTTTGAAGCCTTCTGGGGCTTCTTTTGGGCCTCCTGGGAGTCTCCTGGGGCCTCTTGGCGACATCTTGGGGCCTCTTGGAGGCCTCTTGGGGCCTCTTTGGGACCTCCTGGGCGCCTTCTGGGACGGAGGGCTCCATTTTTGAGTTCTCGGTATCCCTCCTGAGTCCCTCTTGGGCCCGTCTTGGGGCCTCTTGGTCCGTCTTGGGCGGCACTTGGGCCGTCTTGAGGGCTCTCTTGGGTCGTTTCGGCGCCGTCTTGGGAGCTTCGTGGGCCGTCTTGGAGCGGTCTTGGGGGCCTCTTGGGCCGTCTTGGAGCGTCCGGAAGCCGAAAAAGCCAGAACACAAAAAACATCGAAAAAACCAATGAAAATCAACGATTTTGGCCTCTTGGGGCTCTCTTCGGAGGCCTCTTGGAAGGCTCTTGGGGCGTCTTGGAGGCCTCTTGGGCTGTCTTGGGGGCCTTTTGGGCCGTCTTGGGGTCATCTTCGGCGTCTTCGAGCGCTCTTTGGGCGTCTCGGGGGCCTCTTGGGCAGTCTTGGGGGCCTCTTGGGGCACTCTGAGCGCGCTCTGGGGAGCCTGAGAGGCCGCACCCAGAAGGAAAACCATCTCTGAGTAGACTTGGTCGGGCGGCGGTCGGGCGTTGGTCGGGGTACTTTTCGCCGGGGGACCCCCAGGGGCCGCCCCGCGCGCGCGAACTAGTCGTAGTTTGAACAGTAATATTTGCAGTGGAAGTCGTAGCGGTCGCAATCGTAGTAGCAGTAGTAGCAGCAGCAGCAGTAGTAGTAGTAGTAGTAGTAGTAGTAGTAGTAGTAGTAGTAGTAGTAGTAGTAGTAGTAGTAGTAGTAGTAGTAGAAGTAGTGATAGTATTAATAATGGTCGTAGTAGGGCGCGTAGTAGTAGTTGCAGTAGTGGTGGTGGTAGTTCGTAGTAGTAGTAGTAGTAGTAGTAGTAGTAGTAGTAGTACTAGTCGAAGTAGTCGTAGTAGTATTATTAATACTAGTACTATCAGTAATAGTAGTAGTAGTAGTAGCAGTAGGCGTTCTATGAGTAGTAGTCGCGGCAGTAGTCGTAGTCAGTAGTAGTAGTAGTAGTAGTAGTAGTAGTGGTAGTGGTAGTAGTCGTAGTAGTAGTAGTAGTAGTAGTAGTAGTCATAGTCGTTGGCAGTAGTCGTAGTAGTTGGAAGTAGTCGTACCAGTAGTCGTAGTTTTAGTAGTAACAGTACTAATACAAGTAACAGTCGTAGTAGTAGTAGTAGTAGTAGTAGTAGTAGTAGTAGTAGTAGTAGTACTAGTACTAGTAGTAGTAGTAGTAGTAGTAGTAGTCGTCGTAGTCGTAGTCGTAGTCGGTAGTAGTAGTAGTAGTAGTAGTAGTAGTAGTAGGAGTAGTAGTAGTAGTAGTCGTAGTGGTAGTGGTATAGGCAGCGGTAGTTGTAGTAGTAGTTTTACTAGTAGCAGGAGTAGTAGTAGTCGTAGTCGTAGCATCCGTATTATTATTAGTGGTAGTAGTAGTAGTAGTAGTAGTAGTAGTAGTCGTAGTCGTAGTCGTAGTGGTAGTAGGAGTAACAGTAGTAGTAGTAGCAGTAGTAGTAGCAGTAGTAGTAAAAGTAGTAGCAGTAGATAGTCGTAGTAGTAGTAGTAGTAATAGTAGTAGTAGTAGCAGCAGTAGTAGTAGTAGTAGTAGTAGTAGTAGTAGTAATATCATTATTCAGAGTAGTAGCCGTAGTGGCAGTAGTGGTAATAGTAGTAGTAGTAGTAGTAGTAGTAGTAGTAGTAGTAGTAGTGGTAGTAGTAGTAGTAGTAGTAGTAGTAGTAGTAGTAGTAGTAGTAGTAGTCGTTCTAGTAGTAGTCGTCGTAGAGGTCGTAGTCGTAGTAGTAGTGGTAGTAGTAGTAGTAGTAGTAGTAGTAGTAGTAGTAGTAGTAGTAGTAG